GGGAACAAGTCATTCCTTGGCAAGTCAGAGTCAAATCTCGAGTCAAAACATTGCAGTCCAAGTCAAGTCTCAAATCATTTGCCCTCAAGTCTATGTTGAGTCCAAGACTTTCCATCATTTTTGCTGTCAAGTCACAAGTCATCAAATTTGTGACTCAAGTCAAAGTCGAGTTTCTGAGCCATGTAACTTGAGTTCCTACCTATGTCAGTTTTTTTTACCTTTAGGGATTAAAACTTGCTGCAGCAAAAACCCACCACAGTTCATTGTAGGATACCTTATTTATAGATAGATAGGTTGAAAAGAAAGTTTCCATTCATGGTTGTCCTGACACAGTTTTTACGTCCATGTATATGCAGGAAGTGATGCATTTTTCCAACAAACCATCTCAGGAGATCTTGCATTCAGCCAACTGAAAATGCAGACAGCAGAGTCTTTTTGAGTCATAGGGTCTAAGTCGGGACCAAGTCTCGAGTGATTGCCCTCAAGTCCAAGTCGTGTCCAAGTCTATCCATCAGTTTTTTCAAGTCAAGTCACAAAGTCATGAAATTTGTGACTTGAGTCCGAGCAGAGCATGCTGGTGGACTGGCCACCCGCCCTGTGTTTTACTGAATCTCCCAAATTGAAAAATAAAATGCTGTGTCCCCTGTCGAACCGATACAGGATGTAATTTGTCCTGATGGTGTCCTGTATTTCTTCAGACTAAAAGTGGAAACCCTAAATGTAGCTGCTGTGACTGTAGGCGTTTGCATTCCGTATGTTCTACTGGATGGCAGTGTATCATGTAGTGAAATAAGCTTGTATTCAGTCACATCCTGAGCCAATAAAGGTCAAAAACGGGGGCAATCCATGCATTTTTTAAATTGATCAGTATCACCTTCCACAGCCCAATCCATTTCATTTCCCGGATCTGCCTAATTTACGTCAGTTGCGCAGACTGAAAGGTTTCTGAGGCCTATGTCTTGAAACAACGAAACAATCGAGAGGTCATCCATGTGGAAATTCCTTCAATTAGAAACTAAGTACCTCTACAGCTGCCTTCAATGTTTTCAATGCCATCCTTTATAGAATAGGTAGCAAGAGAGTGTCATTTACTGTAATACAACAAATCAATTTATTAAAAGAACCGATAGGGACTCGAAACTGGCAGATATAAATAATGAATGAACTGGATCAAATCAGAGTATGAAAAAAGTGGACTGGGACATCCCTATTCATATTATATCCATTGTTAGTTAGCATAAGTTTTTGGCAGATTACATGGTAGCGCTCTGTCACTCTGTCGTGTGTTGGACTTCAAATTGCCAAAGTATTGCCACAGCACCAACTAGACCAGTCACAAGTATTACCGCCAGATCACGATAATTTGAGCTGACCTGACCATGATTATTTTCCACGTTCCACGGGTGAATCTCAATACCAAGAACGCAAGACCGGTCCTGCTAACTTGCCTTCCACAAACGAACTTGGAGCACGATGAATCGTGGGATTGGTCTCATTTGGTGAGGATGCAATTGATGTATCCTTGATATTTGGGCCGGAGCAAAACCAACATCCAGAAATTTTTACCATCGACGTGTACTTGTGTTCTTAGTTTTGGAACTTGTCTTTGGCAATAGAAGATGTCGTAAAACATGAGAACACAAGTACAGTCAAGCACGCATATTGAGATTCACCCGTAATATTTGACTGATGCTCGTTTAATGCCGTAATCTAACTGCGCTTCTGAACCGATCCGTACCACCTGCCCTAGTAGTACCTCGCACATCTACGCATGCGCAGCATTACATTTCATGGCATATTTTATAACAGTGCCCGATTTGCACCGCTTCATTTCACAGCATTTTCACAAACCAAGCTGAGGTACATTTCCCAAAAGCATACGTTAATTGCTGCAGTGAAGTCAGCAGATTATGCCAATGTGATTTGGTGTACACTTAAGTGCGCAGACATGTGAGTTACAAATTCTCTTTAAAACGTGTAGGCCTACATTAAACTTACTGACCATACTAAAAAAAAAAAAAGAAATCAATGACTAAATGACTTCATATTTCAAGTGGGCTTATGTAGTCTAAAAAAATACAATGTAAAAGTTACAATGGCTTTAAATCTGCAGAGGTAGCTCAATTAAATTCAAATTATCAGAAGGATGTGAACTACTGAAAATAAAACACAGACAGGCAGGCATACAGAAATACTTTCCCAGGTATTCTATATTTCTGTCTCACCCGTTCGATCTGATCCTTACAAATCATTTACTGTGAAACTGCCCTGTATCATGCCGGAATAAACTCATTATGAACTAAGAGATAATCAACTTGGGTAAAACATCTGCTGCCAGATTTACAATTTAACCATGTCATAATTATGACGAATTACTGATGATAAATATTTAAAGAGAGGGGATCTGAAGAAATCCTGACAGTTAAATGAGGACATCCTACAGCTAAACTTTGTGAAGATTGGCAGAAAAGGCAAGTTTCCTCAGTGAGTCAGGGATCTGTGCATCTGTGAGGTCAAATCCCATGGCAAGAAGAGCAAACATATCACCATCAAGCAAGGCCCTAGATCCATCTTCTCCAGAGTTTCTGGCTGACCCAACTCTCCGACGCTTTTTTCACTTGAACATCACTTTAGACAAAAGCATCTACTAAACAAATACATGTGATAGCTGAAAAAAGACTGACCAGTGGTACAAAGAGTACAAACATCTCACAGACCCTCGTTATGAATGATAACCATGATATTTCCAAATTATTACCATAAAACACTATAAACCCATATCACACTAGAGAACAGTCACCCAAAACTCACCATGCTGTTTAAAATAATTACAGATGGTATGCCACACAAATAAGAAAGATATCCTGTTCCAATTTCGTTATGCTAATAGAGGGATTCTCCTACATACTGAAAGCAAATGTTTTTGCCTGTGTGACACTTTTCTCTTGCCTCCATGCCTCAATTAGCACATGCAGCATGCAGTGGTCTCATATTCCACAAGGCTTACAAGGACACTGGGTCACTAAACCCTGCTAAAGCTGCCTTTGACCCAGTCTTTGAAACCAGCATCTAGAGTTCACCATTCACCCACAGAGCACTTTAGTTTAGTCGCAGAGACATAGAGCAGGGCAGCTATGCTATTTTGACTACAGTTCACGATGATTAATCAAAGTAGGGGCAGCTCTCCATGCTACAAAGAAGCAGACTCAAAAGATCTGGCTGACATCCATGTCCTGTCCAGTTTAAGAACAAACATGACCTTTAGGAACCAGTGCAGTGAATAACAAGGATAGCACTGTAGAATCCCAGTGAGCCCTAGGACTCAAAAGTACGGGCAAATTATATATCATTTAGAGGAAATACACAAGTGTTATATATAATGCTTAAATCAGTACACACCTCCACAATTCTAAATTATATATAATAAATTCATTTTTACATGAAGGGAGATAAAAAATAAACCCCATATTGCCTTACTGGAAGCCAAATCATATTTAAAAGTCTGATGCTCCACAGATCTGCATTTAAGAACTTCGTAAGCTAATGTAGAATAACAATACTTCTAAAGGATTTCACATTGTCCATCCATCAAGACATTTTAAGGGTCAGTCATTTCACATTGTGTTTAACAAATTTTGTTTTTATCTTTCCTCGTGGCTTTACAGTATAATACAGACGTCAAGGTTTCCTTTATTTAATGATGCATCCTACAAAGAGTCCATCAATTTTCATATATTTATACTTGCACTGGCATCAAGAACTTATTATTTGCGCTGTAGTCTTACAGTGAACCTCTGCCAGCCTCTAGGTGAAAGTCTCACTTCTGGACACTAGCATAAAACTTGTCAACACCAGTCACATTCACAGCTTTCACTGCAATTAGTCCATTGACAAAGTGACGTGACAATATTTTCCACGTGACACAATCCAATTGTGTATTGTTAGGTTCCACCTGGGTTGTTGACACTGAAAAGCATTCTTAAGTCAAAGCACCGTCAGGCTTAAGTTTAACCTTTCGTACATATGTATTTCAACCAACATAATAATAACTATTCAACCAGATAAAGAGAGATATACAAGACAAGTAATTCAGTTGGCATAGCAGACTGTTCTGCTGATCGATGTATACAAGATGATCATGGCAAGTTAGTCATAAACCAGTTTCGTGTATGAAGTGCTACAAACCCTCGGGTGAAACTTTAACAAGCTATTTTAGACAAGCACCGAACAAACAAAGCCGTAAGAAAGCGGCAAACGCTGTCAGTTCGTCATGACTATTTATAACTCCGAGTACAAAGCGTCAAACGGCAGTTTATAAAGCCATCCCCTCTGCTGCCTCATCGGCTCGTCCTGGCCCAAACCCCCTCCCCGCTCGGCGCACACGTTTGAGGAAGTGGTCTAGGTCTCCGGATCATGTTTCCAAGATGTAAAGCAGCCGTTGTCAGCTTTCCGAAACAAAGAAACACGGGGCCATGTGCCTCTGCGTGGCCAGCCGTACTGCCAGACCCCCCCTCCAGAAAGTGCCCAGGCAACAAAGGACATATACATACATCACGCAGCTCAGCCGGAGTCGGCGGTTTCACCTTCGTACAAATTTAATATACAAAGATCATTAGCAGCTTCGGATTTTAAGCAGGTCCAGAAAACGAAAAACCGACTTTCACCTCTACCAGTCATCAAGATATAATTGTCGTCTCTTTCTTTCCTAATTATGGGTACTGTTGTTTTTAAGTGTCTTCATGATTATTTTTTAAATGTTTCTATCAAATAATAATAATTTGTAATTGCTGTTCTGTGCGTTTATTTGAACAAGCGCAAACATATACACGTAGTTACTCTGTTGATAAGACAACGATGGGTAAATATAAATATTTTACCAGACATATCTGACAATAGGCTTTGATCTTTCACACTGCAGCGCGTCCATCAGCTTTTCCCAAACCGATCTGCGGGGCTCACGCGGCGATCCCCCCCCACCATCCGCGCGCCCTGCGCCTTACCTCGTGCAGCCGCTTCTTAGCTCGCAGCACCGCTTCCTCGTATCCCTTCTGGCGCAACTCACTCAGACTCTCGTAGTATTCTTCTGGGTCATCGGTCTCGGTGAACAGCACCTGGGAGAGGATCTTCCATCCGCAGGTGTCTAAGGCATGGCCGAGGTACACTTGGAGCTGGTAGCACAGGGCTTCCACCTCTCTTTGAGTCACCTCTGGAAGTCCGAACAAGACCGTCCACACGCCGGAGGGCTCCTCGGGGAACGGGGGCAAGCATGACTCCAGATCGGAATTGACGGAACAGAGCTGCAGGTGAACAGCCTTCATATCCTGAAAGGAGAAGAGTCCGGCCCAACTATAATGCTCTCTGCTGCCGGCATCAAAGTGATCCGAGTCAGCCAAATCGGCATCTGGGGTACGCAGTTCTCCTTTACTGACAGTGGGATCGGAGCCCTCGATGTCTACTGCTTTGCTCAGGGTTTTAAGATGACTTGGACTTCTCGTCGGATTTTTCGTGCTGACTTTGCCATCGTCTGCGGCGCACACAGTCGCACTTTCACGCCCGTCTTTGACTGGACTGTTCAAAGCTTTCCGTCTGTCCTCCTCCGCGGAAAGCGGCCCCTCCGCTGCCTCCTGAAAGACGTTCACTTCGGGGACAGGATTCCGGGCAGCAGTCCTCCTCTGCACGGTTCTATTGTGACAAGTTATAGCGAACTTCCCTTCGACCTCATTCCACGCAACTATAAAAACGAACTTGTGCTTTTCCTTCTCATCGAAAACATTTGGCCGGACCGCCACCCACCCGGACTCAAGTGTGTCTTCCATTGTAAATGACATATTGTGGGTAGTTAGCCAAAGACCCCCGGAGCTAAGTCTCTTATTTTTCCCGTTGCCAAAATATCAGTCAGCGGCGTAACTATGCAGAAACAATAAGTGCTGCGAGATTATCCTTTGCTTAAAAAAGCGTTCAAAGTCCGTTTAAAGTAGGTATTACACAACTATCAAAACAACAGCCATCTTTGTCCATTTTAAAGCCTACCACAAAAAAATATGTTTGGCTTGTCCCGCAGCTGCCATCACCGGTCCCTGCCACCTGCTTCCCCTATCGTACCTGGCGTGCGGCCGCCGATGGCGCCTTTGTGCGTCTCGCTCAGACAATGCGGACCTGCTCTCATTGTCACGTGTTAGGATCTGTTTACAACCGAAGTGATCGGTGAGCTACTTGGGAAAAGCTCTGCTGTCAAACGCGTTGTTTTTTCTCCAGATCCCCTTCCCCTCCACCCTCTTAAAAAGCTACCTTCCCGGCTGGAAACTTGGAATAGCCAGGCGTTGGAGCCACCCGAAAATCTTCCGAAATAATTAAACTTTTACCCAAACGCCGTCTAAGATATATCCCCGTTTTCATAGCGGAATAAACGAACATCCTGACAAACCCGCAATAATCACCAAAGCTCCTCTCCGCTCCATTAGCTATAATGTTTTCATCCGAAATGCTGCTGACGTAGCGCTGCCAAAGATGCGTAAACATATGCACGTGGGCCACGCAATGGACGTGATGACGTTGACCACAATTTCGTGTGTGTGGGGAGGGCAAAGAGGGGCATTGAGCGCCTTTGCTTGCCCGTTTACAGTACTGTATATGTTACATTTGTCCCCGCTATGGTTTGTTTTGTTCTCTCAGAAGCTTAGGCGACGTTATAAAAAAGTAATCGGACAACACAGAGTATCTAGCAAATTAGAGTTCATGAGAGAGCATAGGTCCTTTGTGTAAATGTAGTCAGACTTAGAAATCAAATGTCTAGATAATTGTACGTGTTTTCATAAACAGAGCTAAATTAAAGAAATAGGACAAGCGAGTATGATGGATGGATGGATGGATGGATGGATGATGATGGATGGGTGGATCGATGGACAACAGTTACATTGGTAGAGAAATACCGAATTAGGATACCACTTTACAATAAGACTACGCTTATTAAGATTTTATGAATGGTTTATAATCAGCTTAATTAGGTTGTAACATTTTGTAAATCAGTACAGTTTGATACTATTTCTTAAAATTAACACACAGTTAGTGAAACCAGACACTCAAGGAGTAAAACCTCAGATCTGCACAACTATAAGCACATTCTCAGCCTCACTCTTTTTGCAAAACACCACACACAATATTCTGCAAATCACTAAACATACTTCTCTACATTAAACACATAAATCTAACATGATGTCACCTCTTTGCTATTCCAATTAAGGCAGAACCCTACAAAATACCACACTCGTTAGCCAACTGATTAGATGTGACCGTCAAGTGTGAAGTAGGTGCTTAATTAAATGAAAGGGGGAGCCTGCAGAGGAAGAGGGGTAGGTACAGGGACGGATTATGGGTTGTGTGGGCCCCTGGGCAAAACGTTCGCGAGGGCCCCCAGCACCACAATTCAAGGGCCCTTGGCAGCCGAAAAGCCCTCCCTCCATGTTTCCATCAGAGGCCCTATAGGGTCAGGGGCCCTTGTAGGCAGAGGATCAAAGAATGTAGGCCCTCTAAAATAGACAAACGAAAATACATTGTTGATAAGCGTTGCAAATTGTTTTGGGCTAGGGGCCCCACGGGCCCCCTGCACTCCAAGGGCCCCTGGGCAGCGGCCCTGCTGGCCCGGTCCGTAATCCGTCCCTGGGTAGGTAGGGGAGGAGGGAGAGGTGGGGATCGACTTGAAGGAGGATATGGACAGAGAAGACGAGGACCAAATTTACTGAATGAGATTAGAGCAACACTAGTTGACCATGGATTGATGTTGAGAGAGGCTAGACAGAGGGTTTGGGTCGAGAACATCAACGAGGAAGGAGCCCTATATTCTCGCCAGAACAACAGAGAGCAATAATACATGTGGTTTTGGCCAACAACACCATATGCCTCAGAGAAACACAAGCAGACGTCCTTAATGACAGCTCAGTTTTCAACAGCGTTCATCAGGTCTCATTATGAACCCTGGGGAAAATTCTTAAAAAACATCAGATACAGATGAACGAGTTATACAGAGTGTCAAGGAATTCTGAGAGGACAGGAGCATGAATAGGTGGAGATTAGTACTGGACACATCATTACTACACACTACACACAGAGAACCTTTTACAGCACCATGTATGTTTATAGTAGGGATGTACTGAACTATACAATTGTGTCCAGTGTTGGGCATTTCAGGTCCAGAAGCTACAAATCCAGGCCTAGATTTTAAGTCAAGTTTAGTGCTCTGTGACTGTGACTCTTTATGCTCAACTGGTTGGTAGAAACAAAATCTTGGTCTGGATTTGTAGCTTCTGGACCTGAAATACTCAAACCTGATTTTATCTTTATTTAGAGAATAATGCAGATGGATGATGATGCAATACCACATGGATTCGACATTAAGAAAGGTTCTTCCCACGCTGTCTTGCAAAAGAGAGCATAGCCTGTGATGTAGATGAGATCCTGTGGCCAGATCAAACAAGGCAAGCAGATGATACTTAGCTTTCTGTTTTCCTTTTTTTGTATCCACATATTTTTTTGTTGTGTATGTGCTGCATTTAGTTTGTGTAGAATATATTCTGTATGGATGTTTTGACTGATGCCTGATTGTGGAGAGAAATACATTTTAATCAGTATGCACTATGGCCTTGTGTGTTGTCATCAATATATTCATATACAGTATTTAGCCCTAACAATATTTCTAAAAGAAAAACAAGCCCAAACTATATCATTAGAAAAGTAGAAATGTTAAAAGTGTTTTAGATTGATCATTGCAATGTGTGACTAGTCCAAATAAAGTTTTTATGAATCGTCTGTGTGCCGCATGGTGACAAAATTGAGTTTTTATGAATTAGTGTATGGTTTTGAATTAACTGTTTCATTTTGCAAATGATCTCAGGTGTTTTGCTTCTCTTGTGTGTGGTTGTGTGGATTGTGTGTAGAATTTTGAGAAATGAGCCCTGTTTTCAAAATTGTGCTTAAACAATCATAAAAACTGTAATAGGCAATTAGACCCAGTTACAATATTTTTGTATGAATGAGTTACTACCATTTATAAGTGGCAAAAGAGTGGCTTTTGGTACCCAAAATTAGCTTTGATGGTTTTAGAACTGTCAGTGTGGACTTCAAATTGGTCCTGCTTTCAAACCAGTTGCATAGTTAATGCAAAGCAATCTTCAAAAATGAACAATGGTACAGATAGTTTGCTATATATGTATGTATGAAGCAGGACCATACATTTGATCTCTCCTATTAAGAGCACTCTAAATTTATACCCCCAGAATGATTCATAATTTTGAAATGACATTTAGATTTTTGTAAGTCAGGATAACAAACTGGAAACCTACAGTACAGACCCTGTGTGTATGATGCTTCCATGTGAATGCTTGAGAAAAAAATACTCTTACTCTACCCATTATCTAGGACCACTAGGTGGCATACTAGACTTGAAATATAATTCTTAGCAGGCGACTACGTGGTTTATACCCTTTTACAATTTTTCTGAATTGCTGAAACACTAAACCTGATTCCTGGAACAAAACTACTAAATTCATTTATTTGGCGAAACTTTAAACAGCGCTCACCTATTAGACACAATTTGTGGATCTGAGTCACCCTTTTTACAAAACTCTAAATACATTCTCATTCATCGAAACACTTTTTGCACCATAGTGAACTTGCAAAATAAAAAACACAGGTCGCAAAAGTTAAGCACAGCCAGCACACAGTAGTTATCATTTATCAACACACTAAAATCAGACACAGAGCTCAACTGCAAAAACTGACACTCAGTGAGAAAAATCTCCCCTCACATTTGCAAAATCCTGAACATATATTGCACCTTTGCATACAATTTGCAATTAATGACATCTTCTGCATTAGAGTGCATACAGTTCTCTACAAAAAACACAGGAATCTGACACAAAGTCACTTTTTGCCATTCAGTCATTCAAAAATCCACAATCATGCACCAATTGGCTAACAAGCATGCCACCCGGGCCAATCACCTAACTGCTTATTATTTACCTCAGCAATCAGAATGTGAGCACTATAAATACTGCAGATTTAACAGGGCAACAGTAAACAACAATGGAAGCAGCAGTGAGGAGAAGAGGTGGAGAAAGAGTGAGAGGTGGAGGAAGAGTGAGAGGTAGGATTAGAGCAGGAGGAGGAGAACAAACACAAAGCTACATCATAACAGTCATACTGCTCTACCCTGGTCCGTATTCTCCACCAACACCAAGTACACATGACACAGATTTATAGGGTACCTTTTGAGAGAAATTCAGAAAGAATCAAAGAGATGAGACATGATTTGGTGGAAGTAAGTACAAGATTGATTACAGGACACTACATACAATATTTTCCCAGTAGTAAACTAAACCATATTTACTGTGTTTTTTTCTGTAAGAGAGTCCTGAAAATAAATTAAAATGTTATCCAATATGAGTTTATTTCCATTGAGGCTGGCTTCAACCTCACCAAAACCAGGAAAAGGGGAAAAAACATCATTGGTCATACAGCCATTCTGAATGTTCCTGGTGTACGTAGGGGAAACATTACAATGTGTGCTACCATCACAAATAATGGAGTTCTCCACCACCAAGCCAATCTTGGGCAATGCAACGCAGACCTTATCCTGATGTATTTTGGACAGATTGTGTCACACTGTTCTACAGGCAGACCACATGGATGATGAAGGGCAGCACAAATATGTAGTAATGTGGGACAATGTAAGTTTTCATTGTGCAGCCATGGTTCAAAATTGGTTTGTTAACAACCCACAGTCTACAATCCTTTACCTTCCCCAACGCTCTCCATCTCTAAACCCCATAGAAGATTTTTTCTGGATGCCTCAAACAATGGGAAAGGGGATTCATCAGAGAAAATGACTTTACTCCAGTCCTCAAAACGGACAGTCCTCCAAGTCCTCAAAAGTGTTTACACATGTTTCTAAATATGAGAAGAAGCCAAAAAGTGACTAGAACATAGAATGCGTGCTGGGTGATTACAAGTGCCATAGGTGAGTTGAATTTTGATGCCAAGGTACAAATGGCTCTGCAACAAAGAGTTTGTCATGGACGGAGACAGGGCAGGGAGAGCCATGAAAATGTGTCTTATGTTTGCATGTTGTCATTGCTTCTACGCACCAGTAAGTTATGGATGCACACATAACTAAGCCAGTCGCATTGGCGTTACTTATGTATATACAGTATGTCATCTATCCTCATTAAAACAGTAACAGTTTCACACTCGGACACACAGTACACAATTATCTCAAGCCTTGTTGTTTGGTTTCTTGTCTATTGTTGCGTTTCAGTTGTATCGTATTGTGTTTGTCTTCTGCGTCAGTACCTCCTCTGATAACACTGGGCGTAAAGCGTACTGGGAAACTGAGTCCACATTTCAGGATGCTAGTTAAAGGTCTCAGTGACTGTGCGTGTGGGAGCAGGGTGTATACTGGTGGGAAATGGGTGTAAATTTATTTAACAATGTTACTAATTTCACATATTAATGTAGGATGATGAATGGCAATTTCTGGTGTTTGTAGCTATGGGAATCTTTGTAATGATGGTTTGTTTAATGTGTGGTTTGTTTCTAAATGTCTTTGTAAAATGGTATGTTCCAAGGACGGGGCCCTGAGGTTAAACGTAGCAAACAGAAATAGTTCAGTTCACCATGTTAAGTCCAGGGCATAGTTAGCTGTGCTGATGGTTTCATGTAAAATAGCTGCAAATAGTTTGACCACCACCAGCTGGAATAAAATTCAGCTGTCCATGGCTGAGCCATAGTGAGAGTCTTCTTTTTTTACTTTTATTTTTGTACTACGGAGGAACTCGTTAGTATGTGCCTCCCTGATAAGTTTGGTGTCAGAAGTGGGACGGCTAGCAGT